CAGGTGCCATCACTGGAAAGGCCCTGCCTCAATTTTAGTCAGAGATGGAGGTGGGGTGTGGTTCGGCGAGATTTACATCTTGTCTTTTCACACTTCTGAGTAGTGGAAAGGTCAGGAGAACTGCTTTGAAGAGCTTGTTTCTTTGGAAATGGACACATAGCAGAGTTTTGCTTGATACAGTAATCTGTTCGTTTGCAAATGCTCAGGTTAGGGAGGTGCGAGGTGCAAGTAACAGGACCTGCTTTTCCCAGGCTTGCCCAGGCACTGAGCTCTTCAGAAGGTGTGCTGGTCGAGGTGCCGCATAGCAACATGGCCTGATGGGTATCCACGTGATGGTGCGGTGGATTTCTCTGGCAGCTGCATTTCTGTGGAACTCCCTGTCTCTGGGGACAACGCAGGCACCAACACTGTTGTTCCGGCACCTCCTGTAAGCACCTTTATTTCAGCAAGCTTTTCTTGCTGAACAACCAGTCAGTCTTCAGATTGATATTCTCTTTAAAAAAAATTCATTTTTTATCTTTTCTGTCTTTCCTTGTTCGACAATCTATGTAAATGCAGGGCACTCAGCGTTTTAAATAGCAAATCAATGAATAAATATGCTGGCAAACTTGACATCCTGTTTTGGTTGCCTGGATGTGTCCCACGCAACTTTGGGCAGGACGAAAGAATGGCAACGCCCAGCATGCCCCAGCCAGCCTTGTGGGCCTCTTGTTCAGTCTAAATTTGTGCAGGATCGCACCTGCGATCCCTCGGCAGCTAACCTATCAAAAGGTAAGCCCTGAGACAGGAGGTCTCAGAACAAAGAATTGGGACTCCGATGTTGCAGTGGCGTGACAGCTGGCTTTTGAAGAGTTTCTAATTAAGATTTCACTTCCTCATGACTACCTTGCCCAGGAAGCACTTAATCACTGGCAAATCATCTCAAGTCCATCGCTCCTGTAAGTAGGTTCTCGCAGATCTCAATAATGCTATCAGCACAGAGCATCCTTTCTCAAGGAACAATGTCTATTAAAATCCAATTAGAAAGCCTCAGTCATAAACTTTGATAAATGATTTTGATTAGTCATGCTGATTATTTAATTAATGGTTTTGGATGTGTGTGTATATGGGTGCGTGTGCTGAGGGGGCAGATTGCGGTAAAAAGATCAGGGTGGGGGGAAGGGTCCATTACAGTTTTTCTTTGAACTAGATCAGCAGTGATACATAGAATAATGGATTATAATTTTGAGAGATTCATTTATTTTGGACAGCAATCCAGGTTGGGAATTTGTGGGCATGTCCTAAGATCGGATGGGGCCACTGCGGGAGAGAAAAGCCAGCGGTTTCTGTAAGAACCACAACTGTTGACTGACCTGGAAGATCAAAGTTAGATTTAGGCTAGTCTCCAAATGTATGATTTATATTCATGGACCAAAATAATCACAACCGATTAACTAAATAATTTGTAGTGGGAGCAGTGCCCCAGCATCTGAGGGATCGATGCTAACCAGCCTGGGCGTCACTCAGATCACATCATCAAAATCATGGGCAAAGAGGCGGTTGCTAACATCCAGGTTTGTCTGGGCTGTACCTATAGGATGGCCACGTGCCCTCTGTAGAGGACGCTGCACTGTTTGAAACTGTCCTGCATTTCAGTGGTTTGCAATTGCTGGTCCATGTTGCTGTGGGATGCTCAGGTGGGAAGCATCTTTTTATAACAGTCACAAAGAATTTGCTCTCTCTCAGTCACCTGTCCTGCAAGAGTGATGTGCCTTTTCCTGCCAGCCCTGCCTTCCACAGATTATCTACCTGTGATCTTTTGGTAGACTAGTAACAACCTTGTGAATTAATAAAGGATCGCTTTTGCTTGAGAGGGCAGTGGTCTGTTGGCCGCTTATGGCCCCTCCAGTTCTCTTCTGCCCCCTAGATTCTGCTGAGCAAGCAGTGGGTCCTGCAAATTGCAAGAAGCCAGATTCAGCACTTCTTCATGGATGCTTCCAGAAATTCTTATGTTGGGAAGGAAGCAGGCCCATGTATGAACCTTGCCAGCCTGCCTCCTTTTAGAATTGAGTCTATCTGCTCATCTTGGGCATTGCTGAAATTCTCTTGTGCAAGGAGGAGATGGCCACTGCTTGCACAACAGAAGTGGTGGAATGGAAGTGCCTGGCCGGATTCTGGCCTTTGTGTTTTAGGAAGAGCAATAAAAATTTATTCCCAATAATGCCACTGCTGTTTTTTATTGTTTTGTGTCTGATAGTTACCACAGGAATAAAAATTTACATCCAACAGTGTTATTACAATTCTCCACTATTTATGGAATTATTTGTTTGTTTGTGTGTTAAAGGCATAGTAATACAATTTACCCTAAGCAATGCTACTGCAATTTTTATGTCCATAAAACTTAGCATAAATGAGAAATATAATAGCAAAAGGCCTGTAAACATAAAAATGTCGGGGGAGGGGTAAAGTGGGCCTTTGTTTCTATCCTGCTGGGACACAGTTTCTTTAATAATATGCTTCCTGGGATGTAAGTTAAAAAGGTTGAAGACGACTTCTGCATTTGAAGGTACCCTCTGTTTGGAGGGCAACCCAGTCCAAAGATGCCTGCTGCAGAAGTATGCGAGTATGCAAATAAATATACAATTAAACAAAGCACTAGCAATGATATCACTAAAAATGTTTTCAAAACATTACTAAACTTTGTAATAGCATGCTGCATTTTGATGCACACATTTGCTTGGGAAAATATTTATCATATAGCTGAAAGAAAGATGTACAGTTTCTTTTCCTTACTACTGTTTCTTTCCTCCCACTTAAAAGTTATTTTCCACATGGGGTATTGTTTTAAATAAGAATGTGAAAATCAGGTTAGTGGTGAAATCCAGTTAGGACATACATCCTATTTTAGTTGTTGTTTCCTTCAAGAGGCAACTGGCAAGTTAGAAAAATGCTGCATCCTGGCCCACAGGGATCAGAGGGTCATGTTTCCTACCTGGAGGGAAAAGACAGGAAGGAAGGAAGGATCCTGGAGGGCATTTCAAAGAAGTGGTTGAACTAGGCCAGCTACATCTTGGGCAGGCGTATACAAAAGAGAACCACTAACAAGGCTAATAATCTGAGTTTCAGATTACAAATCAAATGGTTCTTGGTAGATGAAGATCTTAACCATGCATATAAAAGTATACAGTGAAGATACCAGGCAGCTGTCTCTAGGAAGGGCATTCTACAGATGTGGAACCGCTACCAGTACAGCCCTTTACCTTGGAAAATGCTTTAGCAATTGCCAGCACCTCAAAGAAGCTGCAGGGATGTGATGAGCAGATTAAACCCTTCCTGGCTGCGGCCCTGAAAAAATAACCTCCCCGAAGGTGTGCTTCTGTGTTGTACAGGTAGACATCTAAGGGTGAAATGAGAGGATATGTTAGTCATGCAATTAGCGATCATGTGAATGGTTTTGGGAACAATAGCTGGCAGACTGAGCGCTTAATCCTGACTAGGTGAAAGCTACGTAACTACTCCCACCCCAACAGGGACTGATCAGGAGAAGGCTCATGCACTTGGAATATGGCTGTCCAGACTCTGGGAATGTCAGTTGTCTATCAGTGGCAAGCCTGTCATTCACACCCACACAGGCGCAAGATGGTCACGAAGCTGCTCAGAATGATAAGCACATTTTCTTGGGGAAGCGGATGCCTCCCCATGTCTGCTGCCTCCATCAAACTGTCAAGACTGGAAGCTTTGTCTTTAAGCAGAAACAGGTGCAGCTGTCCTCATTCTGGAGTTGCTTTCTTGAAATGATGCTCCTGTTGGATTTCTGCCTGTGTAGCCATCTTGAAGGCCTGGGAGGCTGGCCATTGATTCCCAGCTGTATACCCAAGCCATGCAGTACACAGTATTTTATCTGTTGTCCTGCCCTTTCCACTGTGGCAGCAGTGCCCGGATGTAGCCCAGGATGGCTCTGCAGGTGCTCAGCTCACTTTTGTCGCCTTGCTGCCGTGAAGAAAATGTGTCCTGACAAAAGCCATGAGTTCAGTAGGAGGATGAAGTAATCCGTCAACCACTTTGCCATGTGTCAGACTGGATGCGGGGAGCTGCTCAGTTTACATTTTTAACTTGCCAGCCCATTATTGACTTAGCTCTCTCTTGGGCTGTCAGCAGGCCTGGGCTGAAATTTACTGGCCTAGCCAAAAGTTCAATCTGCATCACTCAATATATTTTCCCCAAATGCGATGTCTATTTTCAGTATTATTTCTTAACTTTACCAAGATGCAAGGTCTTTAAAACAAGCAACACCTTTCCCAACACCCCTTCCTATAAACACGGCACTCTGCACATGTTCAAAGGCACTTTTATATGGAGCCCTCCTCAAGAGATAAATCTTGTCAAAGTGCAAAGGGGCTCTTCACATTCTCAGATGCACTTTTGAGGTTTATTATTAAAACTGGATGCTGGTGCTTTTTGGGAAGAACCTGCACACGTGCACAGGCCCTCTAAAGATCTGCTAGCAATGATAATGACAACAACCCATCTTACTATCCCACCCCTCCCCCGACAAGCTCGGAGGGTGCGCACAAGGTTCCCACACCAATTTTATCTTCGCAACCGCCTGTGGGGTGCGCTGAAAAAGGACGCAGGAAGGGCTTCACGCCCGGAGAGATTGACCTCCTAGCAGCGGTTTGAAGGTCAGTCTCCCGACTCAACTCGGCCGGGCCTTTCGCCACGGTGGGCAGTCTGCACGTGCTCAGGAGCACGGAGGCAGAAGAAATGTGGGGACGCGTTTCCCTACGAGGCGCCCACAAACGGGTCGTCCGCGCTTCCTCCCCTGCGCCCAGGTGCGCAAGACCGGGCACGAGAGAAAGCGGAGCAAAGTTCCGTTTCTGAAGCGTGTTGCAATCGAGCGGGCCGGGCGTGCGAGGAAGGCGCCGCCGCGGCGCGGCCAAGTGGGAGGGCCGGCGAGCCGGAGAGCTGCGCGGAGGCGGGCGAGTTTAGGGCCGGGCCGTGGGAGGGGAGGCCGCCGCGGCGCAGCAGCGAGCAGAGCGGAGCGGACGGCGCGCAGCAGCAGCAGCAGCAGCAGCAGCGCGGGACTCTGACCGCCGGCCCTGCAGGCGCGTTCTCGGGTCCTCCGAAGCCTCGTGCGCAGAGCAGGTGTTTTAGTTTTGCTAAAGGTGTGTTCGCTTCTTTGTTTTCTTTCTGCGCTTTAGGGCGCCCTCCTGGGCATGTTCAGCCTGGAAACTCAAGCCCTGCCATTCGCAGCAGAGTATAACCAGTCAATAAAACGGGCTGAACGCATGCAAAGATGTTAAAAACTTCTGTACTTCCATGGCTTGGGATCGCTTGGGATCGCTCCTTTGAATGAATTGCAAAGCACTTCCTCCCTTGCAGAGGGGAAAAAAACTTGGCCATAGTTTTGCGGCTGAGCTTTCGCTTCTTCCTGCCGATGCGCCCTTTTCGGCCTGTTGTGCAGCTGCGGCGGACGAACGGGCGGGAAGGAGGTTTTCCCAGGCGAGGCAGGCTGGAGGCGCACGCCTTTGGTGGAGCGGGAGTCAGATCCGCTCGGCCGCCCGCCACGATCTCTTCCCACATCAGCCCTGCTCTCACGGGCTCCGAGCAACCATTTTCCAATAGAAGCAAATCTCGTCCCCAGACGTTTGAAGCACGGCTCCTTGGGGAGCAAACAAGCCCAACAAAACACCGTGCAGCTTGGAACCTTAACAATGTATTAGGGCGTTCGTGGATCACAGGCCTTTTCTAGAGCATGCAAGGCGCTTTTGGGTTAGGGTGTGAGCGCATGCAAGTGATAGCAAAAGCGGGGGCCTGCAACCTCTCCCCCCACACGTAGCCCATGGGAAGAGGAGATGGGCCAAACATCCGGAGGGCCTGAAGTGGCCCATACCGGTTCAACTGCACAGCGTGTTTTTGAGCGTGTTTTTGAGCTTCTTTAGATTGTTTGGTTTAGCTCTCCAAGTCTAAATAAGCGCCCACTTCTTTATTCTGTGGTTTTAGTCAGAATATTTAAGTAATTTAAGTTTTCTTGGGGGCTTGCATGGAACTAGATGCTGGGATTATTTTTCTTTGTGTGGAAGAGCTTTGGGCCGTGTGAACCTGCATTATGCCACACAGACAGAGGGGTTCCAGTTGTGAGAACTACCCCAGAGTCTGCAAATCTTACAGGCCCTTACTGTATCTTACTGTAGGATGCCTACCAGGCCCTGCTTTTGTCAGTGGGATTTTAGAAAACAAAGACTTTCCTTTGACTGCATGTGGTTATTTCTGTGGCCCTACTCTGAAATCTGTTTCAGTTGCGAAATCTTTTCTTGCACTTCGAAGAGAAAGTCTGTTTAGATCTCAAAGCGGTGTTTTTTCAAAGTTGGCACTTTGTTATTGCTTCTGTCTGACATTGATAATTCAGACAGAAAATGGGGCTGGATCTCCCACTTGAAGTGTTTAGAAACCTGGTAGTGGTGTTTTTATTTGAAAATATTCAAGGTGTGGGTGATTGATTCTTAAAATATTATATAGTGCTAAAGATTCATTAATTTCCCTTTTAGATGAATTACTTCTAAATGCAGTTAATCTTTTTTTTAATGCATTTTAAGGGGGAGGGGAAAAGACATCTTTCCAATTTGACGTGAGTAGGATTGAGTGAATTCATTTATTTTTATAAGCACACTTCAATCAAGCCTGACGAAATGTAAATTATTTGGCCTCTCCTCCCCCATGCCTCATTCCTTCTGGAGCAGCACTCCCCTGCAGCTGCGTGAGGAAACTGACAGATAAAAAGTTTTTGCAAGTTGTAAATGCCATTATCGTGACCTTTAGCAAAGGAACTGGTGTATTTGCAGATAAGAACACTAGGTTAGTCTAGCTCTGCTCTAGGAGTAATTGCAGAATCATTAGGCAAACGTTACTGCCTCATTGGACTATGCCCATGCTTGTGGCCCAGCCTTTGCTGGGAAAGCAAACGCAAGGTTGCTTGCTCGCAGCTTGGACAGGGCTGCAAACAGGGCCAGAAACTTTGACGGCTGAGGCAGGAATTCCAAACTGTGACCTCCTCTATTGAAATTATTTTATTATGATTAAAAACTGAAAATGTGCTGCTCCTTAACAGTAGCCCAAAAGCTGCTGTGTGATGAGTTTTCTCATTCCGAAGTCCAGAGCAAAGGAGAAAAGCCATCTTAGCTTTTCAGCTGCACCTGAGGATGCTTTTTTGCCTGCTGAACTTCATGAACTGGCTGTAGGAGAGAACCACTTGCTGAGTGGCCGTGTGTAAAGCTACAGCAAACCTGGATAGGATATCAAGCCGCCCCCATTGTGTGGTCATTTATTTGCAGCTAGTGATAAAGCTTTAAAGGCTTAAATATATTTGCTGGAGCCCCCAGAGAAGCCAGGGCCATTCTGTTTGGCGCTGGCAGATATTTTGAGTTGATGGATCCACAGAGGGTCTGGTGCCTATTTAGACAGAAGAAAACCCAGCACAGCTGACTGGGGAATGCAGGGACTTGTATGTCCTTTTTCTTCCCAAATAGGATTGCATCCTTTGCCTTTCCCCCACTAATTTATTTTTATTGGATCCTGTGAGAGCCTCATCCCAGTCCAGAGTAAATGGCATACAATATTGGGTTCTGTATCCCAGTGCTGCATCCCAGCTTGGAGTCTTCCTAGCCTGCATGGTGAATGGGAATGATGGGATTTGTAATCCAGCACATATGGGGGACACAGATGGAGGAAGGCTGAAATAATCAGTCACATGCATTAATCCTTGCATTGGATCGATTCCATAAAGGAAGGCACAGCCTTGAGTTGACAAGACCTGAGCAGGGTTGTGAAGGACGGGAAATTTTGGAGGTTGCTTTTTCACAGGGTCACGGTAGGTCGGAGGTGACTTGATGGCACGTAGCACCCACATAATCCTTCCTGCGTTGCTCTTGCCTTGGCGTGGCGATACGAGGCCACCTGTGCCACAGGTTTCGTTGTTCACGTGGATGGCCTTTTCACTGTTGGCCACAAGGATGGTGGGAGGGGTGTTCCTCCAGCCCTCTGCTATGTTTTCTAGGCATATGATCCATACTGCCACCAGTTATGGGGTGTTGGAAGTGCATATATATGTGTGTGTGTGTATATATAGCCCCAATGCATGGATCAAGGGAGGAATCGTATGCCCAGATCTTTTAATGCAGCCTGGTGTCCACCAGACATGCTGGACCACAGTTCAGATGGGCACGCGGATGGAGGCATTTCTGTATGAGCAATGAATGGACAGGCAGATTGTGAGAACAGTTTCTGAATTCATTGGTTATGACCTAATAGGGGCTTGTTCCTTATTTCCCACTGGTTAGAAATTAGGACTTGCAATTCTAGACTGTTGGTCTCCTTCTTTACTATCTGTTGACCCTTGACTCAAGTTTGTTGCTTCATAGAACATTCTCAAGGCAGGTGCCACTCACCAAAACTCTTACAGGAAAAAGATTTCCCAACATCTACTTACCTTTCCAGAGGATTAGTTGTCTGTCTCGAAGTTCAGCTTCTTTTCCCCTTTGTTTCTTGTTTTTTTGCTTTAAAATGAAGCAAAGCCTGTTCTTTGGTTGATCTCTCAGGCAAATCTAAGCTGGTTTTGAGTACAAGAACTTTTCCTCCTGCATTGCTGTCACCCAACCTCTTTGTTTCCAAACTTCCACATGCCCCACATGATGGAGAGCAGGTGCAGAAAAGGCAAGGGTTGGTGTTTTAACATTGCTAACCTGGTCACCATTGGCGACCAGGAACTGTATGCAGGTGAGTTCATGCAATTTTGCAGGGCAATGAATCAGCTAGTGGAAGGGCTGAGCTCTGTGTTTTTCCTCTGTGCCCAACATGGAACCAAGGGTTGTGGCTCACGGAAGGAAAGCCTTTCCTCTGAGTCCAGCAAAGAAGTGCAGCTTTCCTACCTCTCCTATCCCCTCCTGACAGGTTACTATAACTTTTTGCAAGCCAGTGACTTTTCTGGGATTCTTTGCAAGACTGTAGAATCTTTTGTAAATCCTTATTAAATTGCTATTATTTTAGGGTGCCTTTAAGGGTGGAACTCTCCTGAGGCAGTGTTCATAGTAAAATATATTAAAAACAGTACAACACGGGAAACCAGTACAAATAAAATGGTGGTTTTCTGGCTTTTGTGTAGCCCCCTGCACAATTCTGAAAGGTTGCCATGCCGTTTTTAAAGGCTTGTTTATTTCCAGTAAAAGTGTTGAGCTGGTGTTTTGTGTAGGTCCTGCTCCAGCACTGCGGGGGGGGGGGGTCCCCAAGATTTCAGAAATGTAATCAGGCTCTTGGGACTGAAGCAGGTTCCAAAACCATTTTAGGACATCCGCCAAAGGCTCAGTCCTGTAGAGATGCCTGTAAGCCACTCAACTTGGAGGCCAGAAACCTTCCCATGCAAGGCAGGAAGGTCTTTGCCTTTCCACTTATAGAAACATAGAAACAGAGCGAGTCAGAAGGGGTCTTCCAGGCCATCTAGTCTGACCCCCAGCTCCCGCCGGCTCCACTCATGACATGCCCACCTTATCCTTCCCTGCAGTTGACCGACTAGCTGTGATGCTTTGGATGGGGGAGGGAAGGGGCTGGAGGGGCACCATCCTGATGGGCTGCATCCTGGATCGGCTGTGCCTGGTTTCCTCTCCCCGCGCCCTGTGGAATTCCCCATATACCCCTTCTGCAGGGTTGCTGTTACGACCTCGGAGAAGCAGCTGGTACAATTTTTTCCATGCTAGCTGTGGATAGGTGGGGATCTGAGCACGGATTCTGAGCCCCAGGATCTGCACTCTTTTCGGGCCTCAGATCTGCCCATCCAAAGCATCCTGTGGTTCTTTGGACACAGCCTAGGAGTTATTGTGTCTGTTTTAATTTACTGAAATTCTGCATATTACATTTTCTGCTTGTCTGCCTTTTCATCGTAGAGTATTTTGTTCTGTTAGGTGCCTTGGATATTTTATAAAGCAGTAGGATTTTTGAATAAAACAAGGGTGTAGGAGATTGTGGAATATGCTCCCCAGGCGAAAATCTTTTTATTCTCCCATTATTTTAATGTTTAATTAGTTTTAATTGTGAATTGCTGGATGCTGTACCATTTTTTAATCGGTGCTTGTGGCAAACCATCCCAAGATGCCAGTAATGGAACATTCTATAAATGCTTTAAATAATAAATAAATACATAAATAAATAAATAAATAATTCCTTGCAACTCCTGATGTCTGACCATGAACATTTGCTTAAATTTCCAGGTCTCCAAGGGATAATGGCAGAAGGATTGGATCTTAACAAATTGGTGGACCGTGAGGTGGTTCTGGCCTATGTCAGATATGCCGTCCCTCTTGTGGTCAAAATGATGCTCATAAGTGTCATAACGGCATTCTTCAGAATGAAGAAGAAGGTGAGAGATGATGCGCCGGGCTTTGAAAAATCAAGGCCTGAGTGATGGTTGCCAGATCTTAGGCTGGCAAAGTGCTTGTTGTAGTGCCAGGAGGAAGGGTGGGGCATTTTGCATGTGGTGGAAGGATTGGGGCCCGCTGCTGGTGCCTGCCAGGCCAGCATCATGGTCCTTGCGCTGCACCTGTGGCAGGAATGCATGGCAGGCACGGCCTGGTTGTGGGAGAGCAAAAGGCCTTGAGGCTGCCTTCTCCAACTGGGCCAGCCTGGCCAAGAGTCAGGGATGGAGGGAGTTCTCGTCCCCAGCCTCTGGAGAGACCTTGTTGGGGAAGGCCGTACTAATGCTGGTCTGCCTCGCCAGTGCTGTCCCGTCGTTGGCTCCTGGTTTAGTAGGCACTTGGGGCGCAATCCTATGCAGCTTTAGACAGAAAAGGCCCTAGAACTCCAGGCGGGCCCAAGCCAGCCCTGCTGTCTGAGGCATGCTGGGAGTTGTCCGACTTTTTCTCTCCAAACAAGCAGAACTCTTTGGTGTGCAGAAGCCTCATTTCAGCCAGTGGGACTGACCTGAGGAGACGTGTCAAGTGCTGGATTCTTAGGGTGTCATGTGGAGCCCTTTCATATTTCGGCCAGTTGTAGTGCACTTGACAAAAAGGTTTATCTGTGATCAGTGTGAACTCACAGAGCTCCCCAGCCAGGCCTGTGTGTGTGGTTTGGGGTTTGCAGTCACACTCAAAACTGCGCAGCCTTTCCGTTTCTGCGCATGCCTCTTTCAGCACACCGCACAGCAGCCAAGTGCTTGATGGGAGGGGCATGTGGTTGTCCCCTGTAGCGATCAGGACACCAGATTAGATACCAGACTTGTTTCACTGCAACTCCCATCATCCCCAGGCAGCATAGTCGGTGGATTGCGAAAGCTGTGGTCAGACGACATGAGGAGGGCCATGGGTTGCCCATCCTGGTCTCCTGTTCCCCAAGCTGGTGCCTTCCAGATGTTTTGGACTCCAGCTCCTATCAGCCTTAGCCAACAGCATGGCCAGTGATCAGAGATGCTGGCTGTTGTGTCCGTCTGTCCGTCCGCCCTTCCTGAAATGCATATGCCACCCAACTGACAAACACCCTTGGGACCTTTTATATTAATTAAATCCCTGAAAATCTCAATAAGATTTAAAATTCCCTAACTTTCAAGTTTAGAAAAGGAACATGTTGACCTGGCAAATGGACTGGGAGAATGCCAAGCCGTTCTCTCTGGGAAGGGCGAGCTGCAAAAGAGGGGTCTTTCCAGGAAAAGGCTTTTGGGGAAGAGCCTCTGACAATTATTTTAGGAATTACCAGGATTTAGGAGGGTGCCTGGTGAGTGTCTCTGGGGAAAGGGTTCCAAAGTTGGGGTGCCGCTGCCGAGAAGGCCCTTCTCCTTGTAGCCACCCTTTTTATTCCTGGGGTGGCGGGGAGGCTCCTTCAGGACAGTCTCTGCTGGTGACCTGAGGGGCCAAGTCATTTTTATCTGTTTAAATCTGCACACATTTTCCTTTGAGAAGAGGAAAAAGGGACATACTACTTTTTAAATGATGTACACAAGTTGCAGTAATTATTGTCCTACAGAAGATGTTTGCTTTTCTAAGAGGGCACTAATTCCTTGCGGTTTGTGTAGGTTCCTGTATTCCCACATTTTAAAAATTTGGAATCGGGTGTGTAAATGGATTGCATCAACTGGAGCTTAGTCTGTCCTATCAACCCACCCTCAAAATGCTCATTTGTGTGAGTTGGCAGTGCTAACAACCCCGTTGCAGTGATGGGTGTTTTGTCTTTGGTCTGTTGACCCACAGGGCGGAGGTGAAAGAAATTCTGGAAAGCACGTTGAGGAGCGGAGTATAACCGCAATCATTTCTGAGCTTAATTTCTGGGGTGGTTTTCAATTTGACCATTGTTACCCACCGATACTTGTGCTCTGTGTCCTCTTGTCATGAATAGGCCTTTGTGAACCCTGAAGATACAGCCTCATTTGGGAAAGGAGAGAATGCGAAAAAATTCCTGAGGACAGATCCAGATGTGGAGCGTGTACGCAGGTAATCCAGGGGAATTTCATCAGTGTTAAGTTAAAAAATAAATTGACAAGAAGGCCCTTAAAGGAGTACAAGAAGCTTCAGCTGCCTGCTTGCTTTCCAGGGTTCCCACAACCCTTTTCTAATGACTGGCACAGAATAATTTCAGTTTCTTCCCCTTCTTGTGGCCTGGTCATCCTAACCATGCTCACGTGGAACCGTCTCGATGTAACAAGCAGCCTTCACCGACTCGGTGCCCTCTACATGTGTTGGACTGCAACCCCCATCATTCGCAGCCAGCATGAGGGGATTGCAGTATAAGCCATCTGGAAGTCACTGAATTGCAGAATGCTGAGACAGTATTTTGAGTTCATGCCTTTATTTCCAGAAGTCATCACACCATCTTGTTGACATGACAAATTCGCGTCAGCATGAGACAGCCCTGTGGAGTTTCCAACACTGGTTCCCTGAGCAGAATCCTTTTCTTGTTGCAAAGTGCTACCAGGAGGCTGTAAAAATCTTATTTCCCTCTGCCTCTGACCCCCTGAGTTTGGCATTCTGAGCATGGAAAATGAAGGTTGTCTCCATGCTGCTCCTGACTTGAAAAATACCTGGACGACCAGTTTTGTGCCCATCTCCTCCCCTTTGTGCCCTGCAGAACACCCAGAAAAACCTTTTGCTGTGGTTATCTCTGCAATCTCAGCGAAGCAGCCAGCCCTTGGGAATCCCAGCGTTGACCTTGGAATGAGTTTCCGAGGTTGAAGCTGGGACTCTGAAACATCCTTTGGCCGTCTAGACACTATAAGCAAAGTTTAACAGCTTCCCTTTGGCTGGATTTAGGCACTTATGAACAGGCCCACTGCTGCTTCTGAATTTGATAGCTTTATAATAGATAATCTGGGAAATTTGAGCCACCAGGGGTGTCTCTGTGCTTGAATTAACGTGAGTTCCAGAAGCAGCTGTGAATGGCACCAGGAGTGAGACCTGTGGGTGGGCACGCCAAGCTGGGAGTGATTGGCAACTCCTAGACAGAGCACCGATTGGCAGAGGTTGTGCCCAGTGGGATCTTGTGGATGGGATATCTATGGCTGTGATCCCCAGCGCGGCATCTGTGGGCACCGTGGTAGCCCATTGGGGTTTCCAGTGGTGCCTGCAAAAGGTTCCCCGGTATGGTGTTTGCGGGCAGCTCTAAGGGATTCTGTCTTTTCAATATGTGTTCATGGATTTATATATGGATTTCTATAAAAATCCACATCAGTGAATGCAGGAAATGCCTGTACAGGAAAATTCAACTTTCTGGCAATTCTACATAAGTGTCCTCTTTCTTTCCCACTCATCCCTTTGTCACATGCTTGCTTTCAGCTGCCAGCATCTCGCATTCCTTCTCTGCTCTAGCTTTTTGCTTGGCTCTTCTCCCCCATTCCTAGCCTCTGGCCTCGGTCCCCTGCCACCCCTTTGCCTTGCTTTTCCCTCTCCCTTCAGCCTCTAGCTTGACTTTCTGTCCTCCCACCTCTTTTGACTTGCCTGGCTCCCATAATGGCTCTTACAGGACCAGCCATACTCTCTGTGGAGTCTTCTCCTGGTGCCCACAGCAGTTTCTCAAATTCCCAAAAGTGCCCATGGCTCCGAAGAGGGTGGGGAGGCGGGACCAGCCTCCTTGAATATCCAGGGTTATCTTGCCTATTTCTGTTTCCAGAGCAGCTTACACAGTACCTGGCGTAGGAGCTGTTCCATAAATTCACAAGAAGCATGTGGTTAGGGGCTTCCTGGGTGGCAGAACGTGAGAATGCAGGTGGAGATCTGCAGAAGTGGGTGTTTTCTGGTGTCAAGAACTCTCGCAGGAAAGCTGGCATGCCGGGCTGAACTGAACCTCGGCAAAGGGAGGATTTCATATGCAGAGGTGGTGGAGTATTTCTACCCCTGATTCCACTATCTGCATTCTGAAATAATAAAGTCTCGAAGAAACTGTGCCATGTACTTTTAGAACCATCTGGTTCAGTGAGCTCCACCGTGGTTGGTGTAGTGGTTAGAGTGCTGGACTGGGACTTTGGAGATCTGGGATCAAGTCCTTACTTGACCGCTCACTGGGGGACTTAAGGCCAATCACTGCCTGTCAGTTTAACCTCCCTCACAGGGTTGTTGTGAGAATTAAATGGAGAGGAAGAGGAGGATCATGTAAACTACCTGGGGTCCTTTAGGATGAAAAATGCAGGTTATAAGTGTAGCAGCAGCAGTAATAGTAATATCTGTCTGCCCAGTGACTCCCAGGAAGAATGTATAGTCAGTACTGCAAGTCCAGGCAACCAGGTCCCTACCAGATGTTTTGGATGGCAAGTCCCAGAATCCCTGGCCATTGGCCATGCTGACTGGGACGTGTGGGACTTGCAGCGTGAAACATCTGGAGGTCACAACTTTGCCTGCTTTTTCAGCAGCACATTGCCTGAAGTATCCCTCTCCCCCCAATTTGTACAGAGAGGAGGAAGCGGAACTGAGTTTATTGCAGGACATGCCCAAATTCCTTTAAGTAGGACATTTTGTGAGGAAAGACTGGGAACAGTCATTTCAGGGACAGATGGATAATAGTTACTACATTGCATTTCTGTCCTGCCTTTTTTCTCTCGTGAGGAACTCAAGGCAATTGCCAAGCTGCATTTTATCCTCGCAACAACAACCAGCCTGTGAGGGAGGTTGGTCGGAGGGTCTGTGACTGGCCAAGGGTCGGACGTTGCCAGTAGCCTTTGTGCAGAGAACTCTGTGGGGTTATTCAAAGCACACTGAGAAAGAAAAGAAGCCGACACACCGTGAATTTCCTTTCCCTCTCTCCACAGAATCCACCTCAATGACCTTGAGAACATCGTTCCATTCCTGTTCATTGGGCTATTCTACTCCGCCAGCGGCATTTCCCTCTCCACCGCCTTGCTGCATTACAGAGTCTTCCTTGGTTCCCGGATCTTGCACACCATTGCCTACCTCGTGCCCCTTCCCCAGCCCTGCCGAGCTCTGTCGTGGATGGTGGGTTATGCAGTCACCTTTTCGATGATCTACAGGCTTGTGGTGCTTGGCCTGAGCATGTCCTAGAAAGGAAAACCTCTCCCTGTTGCCCCATTCGGCCCCATAATTGCCATGCCCCTGTGGCCATCAGACCTCCTGCCGTTCTTCGCACTCTCCTGCAGCTTCCATGTAGTAGGGGAAGAGCAGTGGATGGTGAGCAAGCTGTCTCTCCAGGGCAGTTTCTCCCCCAGCACTGCTCTTCCCATTGCTTGGTTGATGGAGCCCACTCCTCGTACACAGGAAGTTTGAAGCCTTTTGAATGACCGGTGCTTGGCTGACCTTGCATGTTTGTCTGTGCACGTGTGTTCGCCTCTGCTCTAAAGAGCCAGGACGTGTTATCCATGATGGCGAGATAAAACCTAAACGTACAGAACTAGGGTGGCATCCCTTGGACGGCCAGGCCAGACGCTGGAGAGCAGCAGTAAGGGAAGCTTGCTGCTGCTCCTGCTGCTGCTCATCTTCCAGACCTCCCTGGTGGAGAGCTGCTGGAACAACACAGGACTGGCAGGGTGTTTGGTGTGCTGCACCAGTGTAGCTCTGGTTTGTTCACACAGCTAACCTGCCCCAGTGTTGGCACATGCTCTTCCCCCACAGTGGGGAAAACATGGCCCCCACCAGGAGCTGGCAGCTATGGGGCCAGTGAAACTCTCCCCTCCCAGCCCACCAGTCCCTGAATGCTAGGGTGTCCCAGCAGCCCACCACCACAGGAGGGAGCCTGCAGCACATAATGTGGGGGTGCTTTTGTGCTGAGACGCAACTGATGTTAGTTTGTGAGTTCTGGGGAAGGGCTGGCTTGTCTTCTAAAAGCATGCATGTGAAGGAGGGTATGCGGACTAGGGGGAATGACAGCTGCAATCAGCCGATGGAGCAGGTAAGTTCTGGCATCGTTGGATTGTAGATCGTGGGGACCACCTTCTCTGTCCCTGGCATGCTACTCATTGTGAACCCGTCACCCTGTCTCCACCTCACACCTTCAACATGACCCTCTAGCAAAGCTGGAAACTCCCACTTTCGAGCTCTGACTTGGTATAGATCAACACCTTGCGGCTATAGCAAAAGGCCATCCTAGAGGTTATGAACCGGGAAAAAGAATTGCCCATTCATGACAGGCTTTGAGAGGTTTTCAGGATTATTTATGCCCTGTTCAATATTCCAAATGTTTAGGGTGAATTTAGATTGATTCCTTTGTTCCAGTTTGTGGTTGCTTGTTCTATGCATTAAGTACAACTTTAAAAAATTCTCATTAAAGAAAACAAATGTTGGTCTTTCTCTTTCACATATTGCCTCGCCTTAAAATGATCAGAATGACTTGTACAAGTCTTAAGATTTTTAATGTATAACAACTCTGCATTGATGGCGTGCACGTATGGTAATTTTCTACAGATGCTATTTTGGGATGTTTCTTTTTGAAGCATAAATAATAAAGACAACAGCAAAAAGGGAAAATGTGTTTGAATTTTTGGGGCTATTTTTTCCCCCTCGACTTCTCTAACTGCAGTCAGCAAATAGGATGTCACAAAGAATCAGAGATTCAAATCATTGAGTGCTTTGAAGAATATTTACCTTAATAATAAGATATCGCAAGCAACGCCAAGCCTTGTTGTAAAGGAGACTTTGATGCAAATAGGTGTTGCAACCAAGCGCCGGCATAAACACAGGGAGCAGAATTTTGCTTAGCCTAATGCAGCCCTCGAAAAAGAAGAATGTTTTGTGTGCATTTTCAACTGTGTTGCCTTTTTTCTCCATAAAACAGCAGGCATTATCGGACTCTTCATTAGTTACGCAAATTGCACTTCTGTCTGGACCATCATTACGGGGCAGTGACACCTAACTGGTTTACCATATTCTTCCCCCAAGATGCTTAGAACAGACTGTGCAGTATTCCCAGCAGTGGCCCATCTAGGAAGCCTGCAAGGACAAACGTGCTTAGCTTCAGTGGATAGGCCGACTCATTTTTTTGTCATCCTGTTCTCAGGACATGAGTGTCCTGTCCAGGTCTAGCAAGGCAGCAGGGTAAATTTGCTCCAGTATCATAATGTTCTAATGGGACAGTTGAGTATTATTTGGCTGGAGGAGGCCAAGAAACGTGGAGAACGCAGCATCTTCTAGAGCTTTGGGTTGGGTGTGGTTGCATGTGAACATGGCAGCATCTCCATCCTGCTGTCTGCACTCAGCTCTGTATGATTCCATGTTGTGGGGATGGTGAACTTGTTTCAGCCCCTGTTCAGTGCAGCCTTTGGGCCCCATTCTAGTATGGGTGGGACCACAAGCAAAGGAGGTGGAGCCAAAATGCCAAAACAAAACAAGTTAAAATAACTTTAGCGAACAGCTCCTGCTATGGAGAGGTATTTTAGCCTTTTAGAATGGGAAAAAATGCACAGAAGTGGGGAAACTGCTAAATAGTTGGTGGTTGGGGAAGAGTGGAATCGCCAAAGGCTGGATTGCAACCCTAGGAGGACTAGCTTTGGTCCTCAGAATGAGCTTCCACACCTCTGCCATTCCCTATTCTATAACATGCTGCCAACCAAGGCTGAACACCTTCACACATGAATGTTTGGATGTCCTCGTCATGTTCAAATGAACATGCTTTAGGAGGATTTGCACTTGGTTCCTACCTCTGATGGACAGGAGGGGAACATGGTATTCCTATTCAAATGATGTCCCTATTTGTCTAAATTTCTCGCTAGTCTTCTCCAACCTCCCTGAAATATGTTTCCTGGAGAGGTGCACCTGGCGCCGAGTTTATATTCTTTTTGGCACCAGGTTAAAACCTTTTTATTTAATGGCTATTTTAAAAATTAATATTTTATCATTAATCATTGCTTTTTTGTTTTTGTTTTTATATAATTTTATGGAATTGTTATTGATTTATTGGTTTTAATTGTACGTTTGTAAACCGTCTCGAGATGCCGAGGCATGTGGTGATGGCATATAAAAGTTTTAAATAAATAGAATAGAAAATAAACCTGGTGCATCCAGGTGTTTCAGAGTTCGGCTCCAGTTCAATTTCAGTCATTTTCATCACCATTTGAGAAAATTTACAGCAAGGAAAGCTGAAGGAGCCCCAAAGCACAATGGAAAGCATAGCAAAATGACGCAGGTACACATGTATTTATTCAACTATTCATTTTATTCATTTATTTACAAGATCCATACACTGCTCCATATGTGGGTGTGATGATTTCAGAGTGGTGAAACTATAAAACAATGCGCATAAAACGAGAGTCCGTGCGGTGCAGCGGTTAAGGTGCTTGACGGGGGACCCACAAGACCTGGATTCTAGTCCGCACTCAGCCATGGAACTCGCCGGGTTATTCTGCGCTGCCTGTCGTGCACACACAAAGACAGAAAAGACTAGATCTGGTAGCCTGAGCTGCAGCCTGAATAGCAAACCAAAGTCTTTTGCTTCTGTATATGCTGCATAGTTCATGATCTTACTTGTATTTCTTGCACCAGCATTCGATGGCTGTTTGTGATTATGTTTTACTATTCGCAGACATGGCAAGCTTCCTACTGGCTACAAAGCCACTTTTTGTTCAAATGAATGGTTTACGCTCACCACTAGATGTCCCTCTTTGGCTTTTCTTTTTTTTTTGGGGGGGGGGGGAGTCCAGCAAATGGCATTCCCTCCAAATCGTTTTGTGCAGAGCAAAGTGAGTGTTAGGTTTCCCCGTCTGGTATCAAGAAACGGGCTTTGCCGCAGTACAAACATGGTGCAAACCCTTCAGAGGAAAGCAATTTGATGGGACCAGGGAGAACAAATAATCCATCGTCTCCTCGGGCCCCTACAAGAGTTCCTTACGGCAGAGCTGTTCCTGATACCACCCATGGGAGAGTCTGCTATCGTTGCCATCACACGGGTGTTCCAAGGTTCCTGGTTCTCCAGAAATGATGCCATCTATTCATGGTCGGAGTCCAGGGTTAGCATGATCGGGCTGTTGCTAAGGACCCACAACCCAGCTGGGGCCCACCAACAGAAGGTCTTTGAAACTGCTCTCAGTACTGCATCCTGCTGGCTGCCCTGCCTCTGGCTCTAATCCAGACCATGGTGGTGGGCAGAAAGAGATGCTCCTGGGCCCCCTTTCTGCCAAGGAAGCAAGTGGGAGCACGGATGAGGAGTGGGAGTAGGAGGAAGAAAAACCTCCGCTGGTGGTCATGGGGGTGGGAAAGCGAATCTCCTGAAGGGCCCACAAAGGCTTCCCTGCTTATAGAAGGTCCCCCTGCCCCAAAGGACCCTCAATAGCTTTGGAGCTGGCACTGGATTTGTTTGACTTGGCACGGTTTTTATTACTCATAACAACTTTTCTATAGCAAAGCTCTCTGGGTGGTTTACAAACAGTAACCATAGAATCATGCACTCAAGTCACCCATCCAGACTGTAACCAGGCCTGCCCCTGTTTAGCTTCCAAGATCAGGCAGGATCAGGCACTTCAAGCTATATAGAAAGTGTAAGTGTTATGGTTGCTCATGTCTGGCTTTATCATGTGTAAGCAGCCTAAGTAAAGACCCACTCCCCAAGGCAAAGGTTGGGGTGCGGTAGAAGAACCTTGCTGGTCCATCCAGTCCTCCATTGTGATCACCCAGTGGCCAAGCAGCTGCCTGTGGAAGGACCACGAGCAGGGTTTGAGGGCAACAGCACCCTGTTCCCCACCCATGTTCCCCAGCCAATGGTGCCTCTGACCTGGACACAGCACTGAGTCATCAGAATGAAGGACCATTGATAACCTTAACCTGTGCAAATTCATCCAGTCCTTTTAAAGCCATCCAGACTGGTAGCCCTTGCTCCATTTTGTGGAAGTGAATTCTGTCGTTTATCTTCACACAACACATAGTTCAATGAGAGAATTCACGGTTGCGAGACAGCTGCTAATTTAGGCAGCTTCAAAGGGCAGCCGTCAGTGTCTGCCAGGCTGAAGGCGATAATGCTTCCTCCAATATCAGAAGCAGTATACTGGGGAGAATGAGGTGGTGGGGGGGGGGTACAGCTGCATTCCTGCCCTGCTGGTTTGCCACCATGTGCATGGGGTGCTGGACTAGATGGACCTTTGGTTTGATCCAGCGGGGCTTTTCTCATGCTCTTAAGAGCCAGGAGTCAGAAATGTGAAGCCAGATTCTGTTTCCGCCCAGGCAAAGTCCTGGCTTGCATCATCTTTCAGTGTAACAAGCAGCCATCAGTTTTATGGCAGATTAGAGTTTCTTAGCCAATGACATGTTTTGGGGAACTTCTGCTTGTGCCATAAAATCCATACAGGTTTCTAGCGCAGACGTACGGAAACAAAATGTCTGCTTATCCAACATTTCTCTCTGTTCATGCATCTAATCAAGTGGATTGTAGTCACAAAAGTTTATACCAAAATAAGTTATTTAGTCTTTGAGTTGCCACAAGAGATTCTTTGTTGTTTTTGCTGCGACACAGTTACCCCTCTGGAAATAGCTATTCCTTGGATCACAGCTTAAGCCCAACCTGGAGTAAGCCACGGAGAGTCCTTGCACAGCGTGGTGATGGAATTGTTAATGATGCAACACCTTTGAAAGTCATGTTTCTCATTTGGACCCCAAAGTGCATCCCAATTTGTATTTCATCTCCTTTTCCTGCTACTTTGTCTATGTCTTCTCCAGTTGAGTTGCAACCCAAGGGACACTGTTTTAATCATTTGCTGTTCCTACCAGAACTTTCCTGAATGCATTTAGTATTACTTCTCTTTGAGACAGGACCGTATGGAAAAGGTATTTTTTAATTCTTGCACTGAGGGTTGATTACTTAAAAGCCATTTTATTCCCGTCCGCTTGAAAGAAAGCATTCAAAATCGCCTATATTTCTGCTGCAGAAGAGAAACAGCCTTCCAAATAGAACTATGTAACTTTTGGCTTTCTAAAAGTTTTATTTTCTTCATTGTTTCTCCCATTCCTGCCCAAATGGAAAGAAAGGAATGGCATCTATCTAAATATGCAGAACCTTTCTAGTATTTATTTAGGGATCCTATGAATGGGCTTAGACAGAAAAAAGCCCTACACCTCTTACTCTGTTATAGGGTCTACACACACAGGATTACACCTTTATTACATTTTAATTCTATCCATCCTTCTGAAGAGCTCAGGATAAAATATAGTTCTTCTCCATACCCTTTAATGTTCTCAACAAACCTGTGAAGTAGGTTAGGCAGGACAAAACCCATGAACCCGTGGTTACCTGTTAAATTCCATGGCTGAGTGGTGTTCTGAACCTAGAGATACCCACTGTATCCCACAGTCCATATCCCAGAATCATAAGCGATAATTTTGCTGTAACAATTAATAATCTGAGCTACATTCTAAAATTCACCAAACACCTGCTTCAGATACAGTTGAAAGAATTAGGAGCATCACAAATAATTTTCACTTAATTGACAACAGACAAGAATAGGTTGAGAGAGAGAGGGTGAGGGGGGGAGGGAGAGTCAGAAAAA